ATAATTGCTCACGCTGGCAGCAAGCCAGGACGCGAGCTAATTGAAACCTGCGCCTCGGATGACAACCCAATCAACCGGTGCACTGAGCTGGCGCCTGCCTACATCACCCTCAGCAGGCATATACGCACGGCCGAAACTGGTGGTTAATGCGTCCCCCTCCTCCCTCCCCTCCACGCCCTTCCTCCCCCTATAACAGTTGATTGGTTGCTGCCCCCTATAATTGTTGCTCGCTTTGTGTTGACGATTCCAGTGATCGAAACGCCTTCTTCTATACAAATACCTGAAATGCAAACCTTTGCCTCTATTCGTGAGTAATTATCACTCCATATACCTGACCTATGACCCATCCTAATTTCCTCCCCGACCCTCACCACCAGTGTAAGGATCTTGTTCTGCGAATGGCGTGAGAACGATGAATTGTAATCAAAGGATACTTAGTAACCCAGTCCAACTGTACGATTTCTATTATCTCTGCAATTTTACTGGCCTGATTATGAATTGTTACAAACGCATTTTTGCCGAATAAGATTACCAAATACCTTCTTGTCAATGCCCGAAGATTTTTTATCACAAAACTATTATAGAAAGTTTTAAATTGAGCTTAGACATAAGATTATCAGACTTCTATTGTGGAGGTTCTTCATGCTAGAGATATAAATATGGCCGACATGGCTATCTTCGTAAGAACTAACATTCAAAAATTCACTTTCTTGGTATAAAAATTTAAAGAAATTTCTTATTCTAAAGGTTTTGATATTAACGTATATATTTATGGGATAAGGCACTGAAAATTGTGGAAAATTTGCCAGAATTTAAAGGACGATTGGAAAATAATTGCAATCCAATATTTGAAATATGTATGAAGAAATTCGACGAAAGAAAACTCCAATTTATATAAAGAAAATGATATGGTTAAGATTTCACCGCATGACTACTTTTAAATTTGTTGGTTTAATTTATAGGCCTTTTTCACGTCTGCTGAACTTGGGTATTCTCTAAAAACTGTGATTTTTCAAAACAAACAATCACTATTTTGTATAGTTCACTTAAGTTACAAATTCACCCAAGGTTGTTTATCATTGCTTCAAAGTATTTGTACATTTATTCGTGACGGGTTGCGACTACTTATCAATATTTCGCAAATTTCTGGCATTTTGCGTGTGTTTCAGCCTGCAGTGTTCAACGCCTCGACGCCTGAAGGCTATTTGTCTTCCCTGCGACTGGTCTCAGGCAGCCGGGCTCTACATTCTAAGCAAAAAAACACAGATATTTACGTGCGCTCAGGAGGCCACAATCACTTAGTTAAAATTCACTTGCAAGTGTCCCCTACAAGCTGATTTCACAAGCCTTCTCCCTCTGGGGCATGACCTATCACTGGCCGCCCAGGCCTCTATCAATGCTACTGAAGGCAGTAGTTCTGTGTCCTGACTGGCAACAGCCCTCTGTTTGGTGCTGCCTGTTTTCTGACGCTGACCGGGGCTATTAGCTTCTGTGCCATTTGGGAATAAACTCATACCCAAACTGCTACGTAAGGACTGGAGAGGAGAACAGATAAGACGCCTGATATGGCAGCAAGTGATAGCCATTTCTGGCATATTAGTATTCAGCTGCCAGCCACACACAATCCCTGGGGCTTGAAACCGCTAACTGTTGGTTATAAGTCCAACGCCTTGAGTACTGATTCAGGGGTCGTCATACAATAGGTTTATGATCAGGTATATGCGCAGTGGTAGTGGGGTGCTCACCGATCGCCCTCTGGTTCAAGTTTGAGCCCCGCCAACAGACACACAACGGCTGATAATATTGCAGTGGTCCAAATCTGACTGCCAAGCTCAACCTCTCGCCTACTGTGCCTGCTTGCCCGTGTACCCCGTGCACGCCGATTCAGTCTGACCAATCATCTTCCTAAGGGGGACTTATGACCTCGTTGGAGGCGTTGTAATGACTCCCGCGCTATCACACTTTGGACGCGCCGTCATCCAGCTGCCAACTTCCACCAATCTATTTTTTTTTCAATTTCTGTACAGGGCACTGTCTCTCTCCCCCTAAGGAACCGGGTGGTAAGAGTCTTCTTAAGTTACTGCAATGGTATAAACAGAATAATCCTACGGCCAACAATATGAGTCTGCAATGGCCATTTTTGGCTTATTATTCTTTATCGGCCAGTAATACGCAATCCCAAGCTAAATCCCACTATCTGTTAGTCCAATGATCTGACTGTCCCCATTTGCGCCGATATTTACCGGTGACCTCGTTTTTGGGGCCAAAGGCATCAGCTGCATGAAGAAATGGAACAAGGGGCGTCCGGGTAAACTTGATAAACCTAATCCAGACGAAGCAGGAGGAAAGAGGGAACACAGAGGCAAACACGGATTCTTACCATGTCAATAACCATACGCCGGAAGGTGAGGCGTTGTTTACGGGTGAAGTTAACCAAAAGGTCGCAGCCAGGGTAGGTGAGGAGGTTGAAGGCTACCGCCAGGTGGTAGTTCTCGAGGACGGAGGAATCGTTGTAGAGGATGGCCAGCGCATCATCTAGACGAAAAATCGCCAGTGTGCGCGTAAGTGAGTGCGGGGCATAGGAAAATGATAACGGGAGCAGAGCAAAAAGGAGGGGGGGGGGACAGGGCAACAATTCCTTATATGCAACAATATATACTGTTTACTATACATTAATACCTGCTTAGTTCATTGCAATAAGCCTATTTTCAAAAATTATTCAGCTTTCACCAATCCATTCCAGTACCCACACGTAAATGTTTATCGTCCTGTAATTAATTTCGGTTTTATTAGTTGAGTGTTTTCCTGGCAGTTACGGCCAGCTGGTCGATTGACGGCAGTCAGGCCAATTTACTGGGCTGCGCTACGTCAAATCCCCCTCCCTTCCCATCACACCTGCGTGCATTCTGCAGTCTGTTTGCGCGTAGTTCGCACACACGCTCACCCGCTATCAGAGGGGTTATGCCGAGGACCGAGCAAGCGACGGCTCTCGTATCGATCGTTTCTCACGATCGGAATCGCGGCCGCCTGTTGTTCAAATGAAGGCGGGGATAGGCTTGAGGTTCTGACTTCTTCAACTGCTTTTGGTGCATAGGGATTGACTGGCCTAAGCGGTCCTGAGATGGCGCCAGGCTAGCAGTGTGGACTCTTTGTTTTCTATTCGTTGTATTTGTCGGTTTAAGTATCGCGCGCCAAATATTAGGTTATTTGAATAATCATCCCCATTATTTATTTTACTTTTATACGCCCTACTTTTTGTTCCCCCTGATTTGACTCACCCCTTTTCCCACCGGTCCCGTTTTACACAAAAGTGAAGTTTTCTGTTACTTTAGTGTTACTTAAAAGGAATCGTTGCCGGGAAAGAAACGGCCATTATTGGTAGAGTGGTGGTGGTGGTGATGGTCATGGCGAACTTACTTGTGTTAACAAGGTACTGGTTTGTGACTCCTGGGTGATTGACGTCATGCACTGCACAGGCGAAGAGCACAGCGAGGAGCTCCGCGTCGCTAAACACGGACTGAAAGAAATAGGAAATGTTACGGGGGATTAAAACTGCCACAAACTGCATGCAGAATCAATTAAAAACGTGTTTGTCTTAGGTAATCAAGAAAATGTAGAAATTGAAAGAAATATATCAAATTCTCGTTGCACGGCTATACTCAAACTATACGCTGGTGACTAACGGCCACACTTGGTGAATATTGTGTTCAAACTTCAGTAACGGAGTATTTTTTAATGTTTCTCTAGTCGTGCTGGTTTATACACTCAGTTCTTTGCCAATAGTGGAGAATATACGACTTCTAAGAAGCAGTTAAGAAGAAGAGGATGCGATCACTGGAACAAGAGTTTTATTTGCCTGAAGTTTCGGATTCCGTCGGGAATCCTTAATCATAGGTGATGGTAACATAGTCATGGTCATGCACAGATAGGGTTGAAAATGCACAAGTTGCACTCAGTTCTTTGCATAAACAGGTTTTCTGTAAGTTTTACAACAGATTTTCAAGTTTTTGGAATTTCCAGCTTTACGGAAAAAGGCACTAATTCAAAGCATGAAGAATCACTTTGGATGCCAATACAAGCGAACATGCGAGTCCCAGGAAATAATGGTGAAAAAGACGACTCGATCGCTGGGACAATACTTTTATTCGCCTGACGTTTCGAGATCTGTCGCGGATTCGACATCAGAGACATAGTCAAAGAGCAGTGGCAGAAGCGAGTAATACATGTACAAGGGTTTGCAGTCATTGCTGCAAACATACAGAGACAATTAACGTTAATTGCCTTATTGTGCATGGATACTTTGTTGGAGAGCATGCGGGCTCTGACCTGTTGAACTTTCATCACGCGTGGTGCACTGGGGCTTGATGATTGCTCGGCCATCTGGCCCTGTGGTGTTTGCGCAGGCCTGTCCGTACCCCAGCGATCGAGTCGTCTTCTTCTCAATCACTTTGGATATTTATTTTATGCTTTAAATTCGCGTAAAGTCGTACATTGTTATTTCTAAGCTTTGGTTCATTTATACATGCTGGTTTTCGGGTGATTAGCTGTAAACTTCGACCCCCTTCATGAGGTAGATCACGTACTATACCCATGGCCTGAGTAATATGTAGCAGTTTAACTAGAGTAGATATAAAGGCGCGTAAACCGGACGGAAGATTTTGAGAGCGTGGTTGTCCCAACCAACATCAAACCCAATTGACTGGACACAAAAGCCAGAACTCTACTCAGCGGGACCAATCCAAAAGATGTCAGCGAACCAAACTTAATTCCTACCAAAGGCTAGCCACTCCTTATCTTTTGTAGGCGACTTAATTTGCTTAGGAAAAAAGAGAGTTCTATTTCACAGGTGCTAGACTACTGAAACCTACAAATGGCATACGTTAGAAAGCTTTCGTCTTAGGATGAAGCTCGTCTCAGCTTTTCACACAGCCGGTAGTCCGTAATTTCGAAAAGAAAAAAAAGGTTGTTACTTAAGTGTTTCGAGAAGCATAAGAAGCTGCATCTTTTGCTTTCTCCTAACCATGTTAGCCCGAAAGAATGCGGTTATCTACGAGGTGGCAAGGTCCTGTAGGCAGACAGCATGCTAGGTTTGTGATGAGAAGGCAACACTTCTGACATAAATTATTATGAAAAGAAATAAGATCTCCGGAAAATCTAGTTGTACTCGTGACCTTTTGAGCGGATAACACTTTCCCGTCCTCAGACTAAATGAACAGTGAGGGCTGGGATTGTCGCACTAGAGAGTCCGGGAGCAGAGATTAAACTGAACAGTCGTGGGGTGCGGGGAGATGGGGGTGACCCGAATCCTGCTGCTATAGGTGCTGCAAGTGAGAAAGGGCGTGAACGTTTAGATTGTAGGCCATGCATCCGGGGGATGCAGAATCAGTGAAGTTGCACTTGGCCAAGCACGGAAAGGCTGTTGCTGTTTTGCGCTGGGCGCAAGTTAGCGGACCAGCAAACCAGCGTTATGTGAATCGAGAGCCACGTACCTGTTAATGCTGCTCGGGTTTGAGTACCAAGCCTCGAGGAATTCTCTCGTTTGTCTCCTGTCGGCCATGGCGAGCACCTAGGTGCCAGCCCAATTGAAGCGGTGATCACACTCAAGGGAGTGCGCACGTATGAGGGATAAAGTGTCCCGTCGGCGAACGGAATTCGAGTCTCGAGACGTCGGCCTGTGTGGCCAACATAAACACTAGAACAGCTGGCTCACGGTATGCGGTAAAGAACGTTACCTAGTTGTTCTACGGGTAGGAGG